ATTGTGAATGCATCACTGAAGCCATGATAGGAACACTGCCAGAAATATCCCATGTACCGCTCCCAGGCATCACGAAGTGACTCATCTGGCTCTTGGCGGAAGTGAGTGATCTCCCGCTGGATCTCTGTAGTCTTCGATGCCGGATAGTACCTGTGCACGAATTTGTCAGCCAGATTGTCCCAAGAGGTGATGGACAATGGGGGCTGGGTCTACAACCACCTCTTAGCATTCCACGCCAGAGAATGGAGGAAAAGGTGAAGGCGGATTGCATCATCCGGGACACCATTCAATTTGAACCCGTTCGTCAGCTGCACAAAACGGGAAAGATGTACCCTGGCCTCCTCATCCTTCAAGCCATGGAACTGGATAGAGGATGTAATGAGCTGAATCCAGCATGGCTTGATCTCGAAGTTGTTTGCTGGAATTGGCGATTAGAGGATGACCGGGCGGATGTCAGCAATCCGTGGAGTGTAGTAGTACTCCAAGGTGGGACCAGGCGGCGGTGGATGATGATGAACCCCATCTGCCTGGGGTATGGGGTTGTTCCCCAAGAGCTGATTCACCGGGGGAGCCTGCTAAGGATTCCCCTGGTGTTGATTGTATTCTCCGTCCATCCCGTACTCTTCCTCAGAATCGCTACTCAGGTGGCCGTCTATGCGCTCTTCCGTAGCCAGTCTAGCTCGCTGTTGTCTCCTGAGTTGGCGACAAGTGCGGTCAATCTCTGGATTCAACGGCAGTAAACCTCCCGACTGGCTACGGGTCATGCACTACCTGCACACATTCAAGCAAGCAAACCCGTGAAGGCACAAGTGGGACAAAGCAAACAATGCGAAAAGAAAAGCTAAATTAACAGAAATCACTTTACTTCAACAACCTAGCCGTCCCCGGCAACGGCGCCAAAAACTTGACTCACTTCTACTGTCACTCTAGAAATTGGCCAAGTGTAACCACTTCCTAAAGCGTAGTATAGCGGGTTTGGGTTTTAATGTCAACCCGGGTCCTAGATTTGATGACTACTCGGTGAATTCTTGTTATCTAGCAATGAAACTTTAATGCAAGTCTAAACTAACAAACAAGCAAAGCAACTAAACGGTTGTTTTCAGGTTAAGAGAGGTCACCCGGATATGGTTCCTCCTAGACTGCAGTTAAGCCGGATTGCAATTACCAAGTTCAGTTTCTATGATAGTTATACTGCGGAAGGTTCTTAGACAGTCTGAAGTCTCGACTAAAGGTCTCCAGACCCTCTCAATCTGAGTCTCTAGCGGGCGACTAACCTCCACCAGAGTAAACAGATTGAGGCCCTAACGAACAAAACCTCCATTACGAAGTGAATTCGGTACAGAATAGTGAGTTGGCTCCTCGACTAAAGTCACCAACTCCCTACCTTCAATCAAGGATGCTCTATCAACCTAGGCAGATATTCTCATTCTAGGTTAAAGCAGAAACAACAGGAATTTGATCAGGATTCATGCCATTCAATCATTCAAACCTCAATTGAATATAATCAAATCATAGAATCAGTACTTGGGTTCATACAATCAAACCTAACATACAAATCTAGGGTTCTCCATACCCAGATGAATGGGATAACTACTCCATGGAGAAAGAAGCAAAAGCAGAATCAGACGCGGAATTCATACTGTGAAGGATGGATTCCTGCTCCTGGACGTTGATCGGCACTTCTCCAAGCTCAAGCCAAGCTCCAATGGTGATGAAGATCAAGTTAGGGAACTTGGAAACTCTTGTTCGTCACTTTCTCACTCTAGGAATCAATCTCTCTCTCTAAAACTCGACTCCCTTGATTTTCAGCCTTCTTTTCCCTTAAAACAGCTGCCTGTCGTGATACCCGGTCGAAATACCCGGTCGGGTATTTTGGGTCTCGACCGGGTATAGTTGAAACGCACGTTTTGCCCAGGGGAAAAATACCCGGTCTCATCCAATAATCCCCGGTCGGGGATTTTGTGCCTCCAGCCCGGGACCCTCTCTGTTTCTCAGACGCCAAAACAGCAAATACCCGGCCTCCTCAGAATAATACCCGGCCGGGTATTTTTGGTCATGGCCGGGTATTTTCTTCCTCCAGCACACTTCAAGCCTCACTTGCTCCTTTCGTCCCGAATCTCGTTCCTTCGCCTCGATTCCAATGCCGGGTCCTGAAATACGACATAAACACACAGCCTCGCGTGAAATCGGCTTAAAACCCGAGAGTCAACCTCTCAAACAGCTCAAGAATAGGGGTGAAAATATGTGTAATTATCGGTCTATCAACCGCCCGGTCAGTGGCTGAGCAGTTTGTGATGGGGGTGGTGCGACACCATGGGTTCCCGAGGTCCATTGTCAGTGACCAGGATTCCATTTTCATGAGTCATTTCTGGTAGGAGGTGTTCGCTTTGGCTCAGACCACATTACGGATGAGTTCGGCATACCACCCACAGACTGATGGACAGACGGAGGTGGTTAACCGTTACTTGGAGCAGTACTTGCGCTGCTTTGCCCACCAGCAGCCGCGGTGGTGGTTGGCTCTATTACCATGGGTTGAACTTTGGTATAACTCTACTTACCATAGGGCGATCCAGATGACACCATTTGAGGCTCTGTATGGGCGGCCACCACCTTCTTTGGTACACTACCAGGGTGTCGGCAGATGGAGATCTAGAGCTGACCCCCTTAAAGGTGCTAGATACCAGGTGGGTGAAGAAAGCAGGACGCTTGATCGAGGAAAGCTTGGTCTTGTGGCAGCACATGGAGAAGGAGGACGCCACTTGGGAGGAGACGGCGACCCTTCGGCAGCGATTTCCGACATTCGACTTTGAGGGCAAGGTCGTTTCTGAAGGGGAAGGGGATTATAGAAACCGAGGGTGAGAGGGTGAGGGTGGGCCGGCCGGCCGCCTGGGCCGGGTAGGAGTGGCTATTTTGTTATTTTCCATTAGTTCTCTGAAACTCATAAAAGGGGTTCTTTACACTCATTTGGGAATTAAGCAATAAGAATATCAAAATCCCTAACCCTATCTCTCTCTTCTGTTCTTCCCTAATTATCTCAAATCCCTAAAATTCTCCTTCTCGATCCCTAATTCTCCTTCTCAATTCTCTTCTTTCCTACACAGTTCTATCAGGACTCCACGATGGCGGAGACAAAGACTACAACGGAGGAGATTGTTCACTGCTCAGGCAGCCACGCACTCGCAGACGGAGATCCCTTCCCCAGCATGGGGAACTGGGGCAGGTGCCAAGAAGCTATTCTTTGACATTCTTGGAGAAGAGGCATGGTATACCGTAGAATTGAACTCAGAGGATGTTGTTGCAGCCATGAAAGAAGACGATCTTGACGATGTGGTACCGGAAGATGATGATCCCTGGTGCCCCACGATTCCGTTCACCGACCAGGGGGTTGAGACAAGGCTGTCCCTTATCACCGTATCTTTTTACCTTCTGCATGGAGCGTCTTAGCCACACCATCATGAATGCAGTAGATAGTGGAAAGTGAAAGCCGTTGATCATAGCCCCGGGTGTGCCTCCCCTTTCCCATCTTTTTTTCGCTGATGATCTGATTCTATTTGCAGAAGCAAGTACAACGCAGAGCCAGGTCATTATGGATTGTTTGGATCGCTTTTGCATGGCCTCCGGGGAACAAGTGATCAAGGAGAAATCAGTTATATTCTTCTCGAAAAATGTCTCGAAGCAGGTGAGCAGTGCTATCTCTAGAGTGGCTGGCATCGCAACCACCCAGGATGTGGGACGCTCTCTCGGTGTGCCGGTGTTGCATGGTCGGGTCACCAAGGAGACGTACATGTATATTGATAACGATGTAATTGCACATGTTTGCGCCCTAGTTCGTATCCGTTTGAGGGGCATAGTCGTGTGTTTTGGCCTATTTTACGCCGGGTTGTGCTATTTTGTCATATTTCAGGTCCCAGGCGTCAAAGGGAAGGCTAACCACGAGTTTCGGGGCATACGGAGGTCATTTCGTCAAGCTGGGGCCAAAACACGGGCACACCTAAGGCATTACACGGCCGTGTTCCTGTGGCCGTGCTTTTTATGCCGAGAGCTGAGCTGATTACACGGACAGGGCCGAGACAAAGCACGGCCGTGTTCCACCAAAGCACGGCCGTGTCCAACGCGAAGCACGGCCGTGTTTATCCCAACTGCTGGCCGTGTAATTAAGCCTGGCCGAGGCACGGGCAGGCTCAGGCAAAGCACGGCCGTGTCCTCGACCGTGCTTTGGCCACTGATGCCTTTTAAGCAGATTTTCAGCCAAAGAGAAGGGGGGGATTCGAGTTTTAGAGAGAGAGATCAGTTCCTAGAGAGATAAAGTGACGAACAAGAGTCTCCAAGCGCCCTAGCTTGATCTTCAACACCATTGGAGGCTTGTTTGAGCTTGGAGAAGTGCCGATCAACGTCCAGGAGCAGGAATCCATCCTTCACAGTATGAATTATGCGTCTGATTCTGCTTTTGCTTCTTTCTCCATGGAGTAGTTCTCCCATTCATCTGGGTATGGAGAACCCTAGATTTGTATGTTAGGTTTGATTGTATGAACCCAAGTACTGATTCTATGATTTAATTAAATTCGATTGAGGTTTGAATGATTGAATGACTTGAATCTTGATCAAATTCCTGTTGTTTCTGCTTTAACCTAGAATGAGAATATCTTACTAGGTTAATAGAGTATCCTTGATTGAAGGTAGGGAGTTGGTGACTTTAGTCGAGGAGCCAACTCACTATTCTGTACCGGATTTACTCCGGTAGTGGAGGTTTTGTTCTTAGGGCCTCAATCTGTCTACTCCGGTGGAGGTTAGTCGCCCGCTAGAGATTTAGATTGAGAGGGTCTGAAGACCTTTAGTCGAGACTTCAGGCTGTTTAAGAACCTTCCGCAGTATAACTATCATAGAAACTGAACATGGTAATTACAATCCGGCTTAACTGTAGTCTAGGGGGAACCATATCCGGGTGACCTCTCTTAACCTGAATACAACAGTTTACTTGCTTTGTTAGTTTGATAGTTTAGACTTGCATTCCAGTTTCATTGCTAGATAACAAGAATTCACTGAGTAGTCATCAGATCTAGGACCCGGGTTGATAATTAAACCTAAACCCGCTATACTACGCTTTAGGAAGTGGTTCCACTTGGCCAATTCCTAGGGTGACAGTAGAAGTGAGTCATATATTCTTAATCGCATGGACAATAAACTTTCTGGATGGAAAGCAGAAAACTTTTCCATTGCAGGTCGAGTAACCTTGGCGGCTTCAGTTCTCAATACCTTGCCAACGTACGCCATGTAATCTACATTGCTACCGATTTCCATCTGCGACGAGATAGATAGTAGGATACGAAGTTTCATTTGGGGATCCTCGAGGACACAGTTTAAGATGCATCTCGTGCATTGGGAGGTAGTCTGCAGACAAAAAAAAAAAACAAGGGGGCCTAGGGCTTCGAAAGGCATACGAGCTCAACTTAGCATTTCTTACCAAGCTTGCTTGGTTGTTTATCAAGAGACTAGACGAGTTGTGGGTGGTACTCCATGCCATGATAACCACCTGAAGAGGAGGTTTGGTGCAAAGTTGCTCAGCAATGATTCAATCTTTGATTGAATCCAACTTCTAGAAATTCGGAACGCAAACAGAGGTTTGAGTTCGTGTTTGGGATGGTGAATTTCGTGCAACTTTCTCGTAGGGAATGAGGCTCGGAGACTTAGGTAGAGGCTTGGCCACGAACATGGTGAATACCTGGACGATACAAGCTCAAGATCAAGCCTAGAGAACCCTAGGATGATCTCCAATTTCCACAGACAAAGACTATGGCGATAAAATCTAGGTTTAAATAGGCTAACTAAACTTACAACGCAAGTAATTAACATCCAAAACAAGTTACAACTCAAAAAGGAATATAAATCCCACTTCAAAAGGGTAATTAAATCGAACTGGTCACTAATCCTAATCCGACTAGGATTCGGATTCTAGTGGCAGAATCAACTGGCTCAAGGGGATCTTGAGGCTTCTCGTTCGAGCACTTCCAGTGGTCCAACTCTTCAACCGATTCCACGTTGTTGTAGAAAAAATCGTGTATTTCATGGATGCCAACCCTCGAGTCTCGACTCTCCTTCCATCGTCCCAACTGAAACTCCAATGATGCTTCCTCGAACTCGCTCCAACACTTTGAATATTCTGGCAGTTCTTCCTGTGTTCAGCCAGCAACTTGGTTGACCTGGAAATCACTCTTCTAGGCCTCCTCTTGAACTCCGAAGCACATCAATGGTAAGATAAACCCTTCCTCTTCAAAACAAGACCTTAAACTAGAATTTTTATTAAACCAATAAAAATTTCTCGATGTGCAAACATGGTACCTTGAAGATGGAAAAAGGACTTAACCAAATTTCAGGGTTCTTTCCCATACTTGAGTTTCCTTCTTGGACATTCAACCCTAACCTGTGTACTGACTCAATTGAGATCATATCAGGCCCCCTCTCTTGAAAAAGTGGTTCCCTCAACACTTGGATCCTCCACTACTCAAACCTCTTGCAAAATTGTTCCCAGACAGGATCTAAAAAGGGCTGCGCGAACTGCCAATTCTGGGAAATGGCTACACTGTTCATCATGCTCGAAATTGGGGCTTTTGATTCCAAGGATCTACATAACAATTCAGGGAATCCATTAGGATCGTCTGACGGTGAATCAAAGTTCTGGAGGGGTCTCGTGCCTCGAATCGTCGAATTCATCATCGCATCGTCCCGCTTCTGTTTCCCGCCATCGCCAAAGTTCAAAACTCCAAGCCTGAGCTCGCTCAAATTCGATTTGGGCATTTTCAATTTAAGGATCTGCAAATCAAATTTATTGATACGAGAGCTTCCCTAGTGCTGGTTCTACTTCGAGCTTTTCGTCGACGTCACTATCATCGGAATTATGCTCATCATCGGTGAGATATAGATCGTCTCTGACAATCAATGTCTTCATATTGGGACATTGATTCGCTTTATGCCCTCGACCATGGCATTTAAAGCATTGGATCCCCCCACTTCGCTCTAGAGGAGCCGAATTCGTATTTCTGGGAACCAATTTTGCAGGTTCAGGTCGAACTTGCTGGGTATTGGCGTCGGCGTTAGACTCTGCCGCCGGTTTTCTAGTCGGAGCAGGTCTTCTTAAAGACTTATGCTGCTTTTCGACCTTGATGGCAAGGTGAAGAACCTCCTCTAGGTCCACAAAAGACCGCAAATCGACCTCTTGTCTAATATCTCGATTCAGGCCATGGAGAAAACGAGCGATCGTCACTTCGCGGTCTTCCCTGACGTCGGCACACATCATCAACAATTCGAGCTCCCTAAAAAATTCTTCCATGCTTCGAACTCCATGTCTAATTCCTTGTAGGAATTCGTAGAGTTCCCTCTTATGGTTGGCAGGAACAAATTTTTCTCTCATTAATCCTCGTAGTTCCTCCCACGTCGCCACTGGGTTTCGCTGATTTTGCTGCCGCCGACATTGCAGCTCTTCCCACCACCGGGCGGCATAATCTGTGAAGTCAAAAGTGGCCATTGCCACTTTCTGAGCTTCGTTGAAGTGGCCACACTAGAAGAAAAGCACGATATTTCTCTCCTAATCGAGGTACGAGGAAGGTTTCCTCGTACACTGAAACTACGACACGACTAATTTAACGCCCGACAGTACTGTCGGCTCTCTGTCCTGCTGCCGTTCGCGTCGATCGCGATGCAAGCGTTCTTGATGGGGCTCAGCAACCACCAGACGTCGTTCTAACTCAACAATCATGTCCAGTAAATCCGGATTGCCAACTTGATTCGCCTCACCGAGAACTTCCCCTTCTCGGACTCTATTTTCCGCCCGAGCGATTGTATATATTCGTTGGTACAATTCCTGTTTGAATTATCTCAATCTTGTGTCAATCTGCCACATTAATTCCTCTATATCAAGTTGTTGACCCGCCATGGCTTGATCTTCGAATTGGGGTTCGAATTCAAGCACAACGTTTTCCTCTGGTTTCTCCTGTCAAAGAGGAGGGTCTTGTGAGACAGGCCCCTTTGACCTCGTCCAAGGCGTTGCTCCGGCCACGCCCTTCTCAGTTCTGTCCACTGTGCAGAACCAGGCTCTGATACCACTTGATAACCACCTGAAGAGGAGGTTTGGTGTAGAGTTGCTCAGCAACGATTCAATCAAAGATTGAATCCAATTTCTGGAAATTAAGAACGCAAATAGGGGGTTGAGTTGGTGTTTGGGATGGTGACTTCCGTGAAACTTTCTTGTAGGGAAAGAGGCTCGAAGACTTAGGTAGAGGCTTGGCCATGAACAGGGTGAATACCTGGACGATACAAGCTCAAGATTGAGCCTAGAAACCCCTAGGACGATCTCCAATTTACACAGACGAAGGTTATGGCGATAAACTCTCAGTTTATTCGATTGAATCCAAAAAAAACTGACTATTACATAACAAACGCGAGTTTAAATAGGCTAACTAAACTTAGAACGCAAGTAATTAATATCCTAAACAAGTTACAACTCAAAAAGGAAAACGAATCCCACTTCAAATGGGTAATTAAATCGAACTGGTCACTAATCCTAATCCCACTAGGATTCGGATTCCACTGGCAGAATCAATTGGTTCTAGACGATCTTGAGGCTTCTCGTTCGGGCACTTCCAGGGTCCAACTCTTCAACCGATTCCATGTCGTTGTAGAAGAAGTCGGGTACTTTCATGGATGCCAACCCTCAAGTCTCGACTCTCCTTCCACCATCCCAACTGAAGCTCCAAAGATGCCTCCTCGAACTCGCTCCAACACTTAGAATATTCTGACAGTTCTTCCCGTATTGAGCCATCAACTTGGTTGACTTGGAAATCACTCTTCTGGGCCTCCTCTTAAACTCCAAAGCACATCAATGGCAAGATAAGCCCTTCCTCTTCAAAACAAGACCTTAAACTCAAATTTTCATAAAACCAATAAAAAGTTCTCGACGTGCAAACATGGTACCTTGAAGCTGGAAAAGGACTTAACCAAATTTCAGGGTTCTTTCCCATGGTTGAGTTTCCTTCTTGGACATTCAACCCTGACCTGTGTATTGACCCAATTGAGATCATATCATGCCAAGTATGTCAAGGTGGTCTAGGGGCAGATGACGTTGAAATCTACGGCTAGGAGCTGTACCATTTGACGCGGAATTAGAAAGCATGGCCAGTGATGGCAGAAGATATGAAGATGAGCATTAAAGACGTCCGGACCACATCCTTTTGGCTCGACCGCTGGGTGGACAGTGGTGAAAGACTGCTTGACCACGTCCTTGAGGGGAACACACCGCCCACCCTCCACGCCTCGGCGATAGAGCTCACCACGGCTGTAGGTGAGTGGGATACTGAGCAACTCAGGCGGTTTTTACCCATAAATATGGATTTGCGGGTACAGGGAATCCAGCCACCTAAAGCAGGTTGGGGGGGGGGGGGGGGCGTGGCTACCTAGGGACCAGAGGAAAACAGGCAGTTCCCAGTTCGGTCGGCCTACGACTTGGTGGCCAGCCATGAACATCATGCGCTCGAGTTTAACTGACGAACGATCTGGACGTGGAGAGGGCCAGTGCCTGCACAACACTTCCTTTGGCTTGCAGCTAGGGACCAGCTCATGACAAATGCGGAGAGAGGGCGGCACCACCTGACAGCCGAGACAGTGTGCACCCAATGCTATTCTCATCCCGAGACGATCTTGCATGTGTTGCGAGACTGTCAATTTGCTAGGTTAGCTTTGATGTGATGGATCCAAGAGCAGTTTAGCCTACTTTTTGGCCTCATTTGCTGGTCCCTGTGGAGGACTAGAAATGACTGTGTTTTCGCAAACAAGATCATTACAGTTAAAGGCTTTCTCCAGCGTGTCTATGCTTGGTTAACTGTCGTGAGGACGACATTGGACAAGGATATGCAACTCCATAAACCTGATCCGCCCGCAAGAACGGAAGAGGATATCTCCTGGAAGCCTCCTCCTCCCGAGTGGGTCACTCTCAACTTAGACGACTCAATTTTTCAGGTTACAGGCCTTGCTGCTGCGGGATGCTTGATCCGAGATCATCTTGGACGCTGTTTTGCAACGTTCGCTTTGAACCTGGGTATGTGTTCGATTACCAGGGCAGAGTTGAGAGGCGCTGTTGAAGGTCTACAATTGGCTTGGGACATGGGTTATAGACGTGTCCGCATGGAGCTCGATTCGAGGTGTGCAGTTCAGTTAATCCGGGATGTTGACAACCCGGATCATCAGCATGCAGCGGTCATCGACCGACTTCAGCTCCTTCTTCAGAGAGACTGGGAGGTTGCAGCCTACCATGTGTACAGAGAGGGGAAAAAGAGTGCAAATTTTCTTGCCTCTCGAGGCCATCAGTTGCCTATTGGTTTTCATTTTGTACCTGTTAGATTGTTACTAATCCTGATTTAAGGTTATGGCTCCTGTATGATACTTTAGGGAATCCCGAATCCCGAGTGGTTTTGAATGAAGGTTAGAGTGCTTCGCATCCATTTATAAAAAAAAATTACATGGTTTTTTATGCGAATCTTTCGAATGAAATATACAATTCAATTCTTTGTGAATGGCAACTAACTAATCACTTCAACTGGATTTTGGGTTTGCTAAAATTGGGTAGGGTTTACGGATAAAAATTAATTCAATCTATCCAGTTCGGTTAAACCCAAAACCGGACTAAATCCCACACATTTTACGACTCAGAGAGCATGGTTGTCATGTCGGTGACATGCCGCTCGGTTGAATCTGGTTCAACCATTGTTGGTTATGAAACTAGAATAAATATCATTGATATGACTGGCATGATAGATTTACGAACTCTAAGTAAAATGACTTTGTTTGAGTAAATTTTATTGATAAAAATAAATTTATTATATATTTTATGAATATAAAAGTTAAAAGTTTATGTAATTTGTTGATTCAGGTATAAACATTTAGATATTGACGTTAAATATTATATTTAAATATGAATATTTGTTATTTTATTTGGAATTTTGTATTTTATTAAGAAAATAAATTTATTATATATTTTATGAATATAAAAGTTAAAAGTTGATGTAATTTGTTGATTCAGGTATAAACATTTAGATATTAACGTTAAATGTTGTATTTTATTAAGCCGACATGAATTGACACAAACCGGTTACAATACTCATGAATCATGATACAATTTTACTTATCAAACCAACACAATATAAATCGGTTTGACAACTTAAGAGTAGTGTACTTCAGTACGGTGTCGTTTGGATGTGGAAATTTGAAAACGTGGGAATTTGTCTGAATTTCCATGTTTTACAAAACCAAGGAATTGACTTGTGAAAATTGAACAAAATTCCACGTTTGGATAGGGTTTAGTTTTGTGGGAATTGATGGTCTAGAATTTGGTAAAAAATACAAAAATGCCCTCCTTTGTTTATATACATATACCCCTCCTAAAGGTTGTTGTTGTATTATACTAACTACTAATTGTTGCTAACTTAAGCATAGTTATAAAAATATGATATGGAAAAGTTACGTATAAAATACGTACGATTATTTTACTTCATCTCTAAGCTAATATTACATTTAATAGTACATTAAAAGCCATAAATATATAAATTTAATTAGGGGTCGTTTGCTTCAAGGATTTTGTACATGGATTTGGTACCAAAAAACCAACTATCAAGGATTTAGGTACAATCCGTTGTTTGCTTGCACCTTTTTTGGAGACCAAATCCGTGGGGCCCACGGATTTTAAGGGTCCAAATCCGTGGACCCCACGGACTTATAAATCCCACATGTTGATGTGAGATTTGGAATATGGCATAAATCCTTGATGAGATTTTACCCATATACCCTCATGCACTTTTAATATTCCAAGGTTGCCCTCAAATTTAACTATTATACATTATAATTAACAATAAATGAATAATATAAACGTTCAATTAATGTGCAAACATGAGTTAGATTTTTTATATCATTTCTTGTGTTCTAGTTTTCTTTGACCTTTTCATGGAACGTGTAATTCTTTGTTCTCCCGATTCTAATATATGTTGTTATATGTTATTTTTGAAAAGGAGGACAAAGAATTGGTAATTGATTATGTTATGTTAAAAGTTAAAACGGAATTTTCTCGTTTATTATTATTGTCCATGTGGCAACATTATGCTTATTAGTATGTATTGTCCTTGTTTTGTGTGCATATCATAAACATGTCAAACATATAGAAAATGATAGTAAGGTATTTTTGAAGTTTTGTCCTTGTTTTGTGTACATATCATAAACATGTCAAACATATAGAAAAGGGCAGTAGTGTAATTTTTGACTTCAAGTAGTAAATCCCACACCTTTAAATCCATGATAAAAACATCCCAACAAACAAAGGATTGTTACAAATCCATGATGCCTCAAATCCTTGATAAATCCTTGGGTTTTTAAATTACAAAACCCTCATTTTTAAAATCCATGAAGCAAACGACCCCTTATTTTAATAATAAGTACATATATAAATTACAATAAAGTTAACAATTTAATTCATTAAATAAGGATATTAAAAGTGTTTAGGCGAATTCGATGAGGAGAAGTAGGAAAATCGACGGTGAGTGAAATAATTAAGCGAATCCAAAATTAAAAAATTGAGGACGGATTATAGGAGATATACGAAGGTGAGGGGAGATGAAGAAGAAGAGGTACCATTGATGAAT